AGTAAATGATGCTAGAATTGAGAAGTGGTTTTCAGGCATAGATTAAATTCAGAGCATTTGCAGGAAAATAAGGCCTAAAAAGGAGTTGAGGATGTGGTTGTAAAATTCTTTACGTTCTTAGATTCAAGATGGTATCTTGCAGATCTGTCCAGTCAAGCAATAGGGCTTCTAAGAACCTTAAGGATATTTTCCTCCAGTCATCTCAGCAGGAGACCAAGCTAGAGAAGGGCTACTATTGAAGAGATTCATGGGTGCAACTTTTGTCTAATGGAGTGAACCCCAGTAAGATTCACAGAAGATCTGTAGCATCTTTGAGAGAATTGTATTTGAAGAAACACTGCCAGCTGAGACTGAAAGGAATAGAGAATTATGAAATGAAGAGACCCTTAATTCTCTCAATTGCTATGGGTCGGGTAAAGAAGTAGATTGAAAAACCCACATAGCCACAAAGAGAAGCTACTTTTTGGTGAAAAGCAAAGATGACTTTTAGGGTGGCACCAAGAATCCAGAGGGTGTAGCCAAAAACCATGAAGTATAACCTGGCCTTGAGACTTCATGAAGGAACTGCCAACCTGTATCTTGAAGGATTTCAGAATTTCTGTGGACCAGTGACTCCTGTGTGCCTTTCATTTCTCTACTGTCTGACCTGGAGTGTCTATAGTGATTATTTTACACCTGTCACTCTATTGCATGTTGGGAGTGTGGGAGCAGGTAACTTGTCTTAGTTCACTGGCATTCAAGTTGAGAGAAACTTTACTCAAGGGCCATACTTAAGGAATTACACCTGAAGAGCCTCAGACACTTCTGTATCTGACTTAGATGATGAAATTTTGGACTTTGAGTTCGCCTTGTAAAGGGATGAAAATTTTTGGGCCTTAGTGTATTTTGCAGATGGTTGGGATGTCAATCACTGAGGTGGGTCCAGACAGTGAAATGTAGTAGACAGTCCCCCAGAAAGCCCCGCATGAATCTCACCTCCTGGTGTTTATGTTCTTGTGTACCTACATGGAATAGGCCTGACCTGTGTAACCAACAGGATGTTGAGGAAATGATGGAATATGACTTCAAAAGCTACATCATAAGACAGTGCAACTTCCATCTTGCTCTCTTGGATCACTGGTTCTATCAAGCAGCCCTTTGGAGATGTCCATTTGATAAAGAACTGAGGCTTCCTATTAAAAACCAGCCCTGATTTATCAGTCACATGAGTGAGCTGTCTTGGAAACAGCTCCTCCAAGCTCCAGGAAAGCCTTGGGATGACTGTAGTCATGGCTGACATCTCAATTACAACCTAATGAGAGGTCTCCCAATTTGGAACTATTCATCTAAGACCCCTCCTGAATTACCTTCAGAAACCATGCGAAATCATAAACACCTATTCCCTTAAGCTGCTAAATTTGGGGATAATGTATTATGCACCAATAGATAACTAGTAGGGTACTACAGTGAACAAATACAAACCTTGATTATCTTGGTAGATCTTTGTGGCTTCCCCATCCTATCTTAGTGGTAAGTACTGCTGTTCCTGATCATAAAACTCTCTAAGTTACCCTAGCCCACTCCACCCCACACCTATTATGACTGCTTTATAATTGATTCAAGGATAAGGGGTGTAAGGGAGATTGGAGACAATATGAAAATCTTAAAGCCATGTATCTGTTCTTACCTGCCTCTCAGAGGGCCAGTTTTAGAACCATTAATTTGTAGTGTTTGCCTTTATTCACAGTCATAGAAAAATAGAAAGCCTTGGGATGACTGTAATCATGGCTTTATTCACAGTCATAGAAAAATTTAAAGTTAAAAGGAGCCATTAGATACATCTAGGGTTCATTGTTTTCGTGTGTGTGTGTGTGTGTGTGTGTGTGTGTGTGTGTGTGTGTTGGTTTGTCTTTGAGAAGCCACTTTTGGTCCTGAAAATACAGGGTTTACAGATGTTTAGAGCAGGATTTTGACATGAAGTATTTTATGGAAGCTGGGTAATGAAATATTTGTGTGATGGGTTGGGCCAGGGAGGTTGGGCTTCCCTTCTCTTGCAGAGAAAAATGATTGCCCTTGATAATGGGTTACAGATTCACAAACTGCTCATTTCAGGGGTAAGGAAAATGGGGCCAGAAATGTTAACTCTCTTTCCAAAGCCACACAGTTGTTTAGGGACAAAGCTAACTTGGAGTTCTGGCTACTGGTCCAATTAGATAAGATTTGTTTTAATTTGTCCTTTATTTTCCCTTTTATTTTTGCTAATTTCAAGTGAAAATGATTTCATTAAATGAGAAGTAAATACTTCCCTTTTAATGTGTTGAGCTGGGTGTGGCTTCTTGAAGTTTTAACTGACAAGAAAATTTTATTTTATGATTTTATATATACCCTTAGGGACCTCTTTGCCTGGATCCTTTGAAATTGCAAGGAATAAATTACCAGTGCGCTCAAGTCCAGTAGGAATGAATGAGACTACATTACCGATCTTAGTACAACCTGGTCCTGCTGCATAGGCCATGTGTGACTTTGTTTACAAAGCTATTCTGTGTTAAACTTGAGCATCACTCAACGATTTAAAATACATTCTGCTCTTTTGGTTAAAATGAAGGCTTTATTTAAGACTAGAATTTAACCATATTAATTTGTATCTTCTCTTGAGCTTTGTCTTCAATTAAGTAGAGTCACTTTAGATATCAAGTGCTTTCTCTCTACTTTGGTGGTTTTTGAGGAGAGTTTGGCTTTATTTATCTATCCTTATCAACCTGTACCTATCTGTCAACCAGATGAATGCTACTATGTTTGTATAAAATATGTGAAGAATTGTTTTGGGTCTCATTTGAGTAAGTTTACTTTTAGTTTAACCTTATTTTAATATTGTATGTAATACTTTAAACGTTCAGAACCTTATTTTAATGTTTTATGTAATACTTTAAACGTTCAGAACCAAATTGGTTGAATTGGTGTGAAGACTTCTAATGGTTTGTTTTTCCTTTATTGATATGAGACTTACGTCCTGTGTGTATTAGTTCATTTTCACACTGCTATAAAGAACTGCCTGAGACTGGGTAATTTACAAAGCAAAGAGATTTAATTGACTCACAGATCTGCATGGCTGACTGGAAAGGCCTCAGGAAGCTTACAGTCATGGCGAAAGGGGAGACAGACATGTCTTACATGGTGGCAGGTGAGAGAGAGAGAGAGTGAAGGGTGAAGAGCCCCTTATAAAACCACCAGATCTCCTGAGAACTCACTATCTCGAGGACAGCATGGGGGAAACTGCCCCCATGATCCAATCACCTCCCTCCGTTGGCCTGCGGGGATTACAGGTCCCTTCATTGACATGTGAGGATTACAATTTGAGATGAGATTTGGGTGGGGACACAGAGCCAAACCATATCATTATGAAACTTGGGGTATTGGTACATCCATCCATCTTTTCTTGCCTACTTCTCAGAGGGTCAATTTTAAAACTATTTGTATCATTTGATAATTACAGGTAGTATACTTTTTGGAAACTGTGGGCCTAACAAAATTACCACTTTTTGCTCCTCTTGGAATTTTGCCAATAAATTATGTCTCCTTTTTCCATAGTAAGTCAAACAAAAAACAAAATAAACACCTTTCGTTGAGCTATTCAACTTTTGACTTGCAAGTTTCCTTACTCTTTGACTTCATCTTATTTAAAATGATTCATGGATTTCATCTTTCAGCTAGGTAGTTCTCACTGCCTTCTATAGTAGATTGGAATGGCCTCCTGCCTGTACAAATGGTGGCTTTTTAGAATGTCTCTTTCCCTAGTAATGAGTGTTGCTTTTCTCTTGCCACACCTTTCCTTGTGCTTTCCCGAAATCCCCTTACTCTCCGAGAACCCAAGCTGTAGAATTTAGCCACTTTATCTTAGGAAAACAGTAATTACCTTTCTCCAAGTGGCAGACTATCTTCTGGTCTGTGAAAGTCACCTCTTAGGAAGAGAGACGAGGTTTCAAGGAGGCTCACACCACAGAGGTAGCATTGCCAGCTGCCTCAGTGGACAGATGTGTGTTGGCATGCTGGGAGGCCATCCCTTTACCTGAGAACCATAACAAAGTGAATATGGAGCCCGCCTGGGATCATCACAAGCTCAACCCCATAAAGTGTTTTCTTTTCTTTTTCTTTTTTTTAAGAGTAGTAGAGATGAAGCCTAAGTTAATTCTGGTAACCAAATGTATGTTTCTGAAAGGTAGCTGGCTTTAAAATAGCCTATATTGTAATCCGTGTTTGTGCAGCAGTTTACATTAACGAAAAGCACTGGTTTGTGAATGGAGGATTCGGGTTTTGAAATTAGATACGAGGGCAACCTTGGAGGGAGGGGATAGGCTTTAATTTTTTTTTGGAGGCAGCTCTTGAGGCAGGTGCAGGGAGTGAGTAATGTGCCACACAAACTATGCAATTTAGCCAATGAACGCTAGGTTTCTCCTCAGTCCTATAGTATGGTTTCCCTGCCTGTCAAGAGCCAGCTTAACAACCAAACCCAGATTCCAGGTGTGGTATTCCACAGTCGTTCTGTAATTTGTAATCATAGAAACAGAATGTTCCTCCTCTTATTTCTTCCCTGCCAACAGTTTCTGGGTGGGTGAATGTCAGTAGCTGGAGTTATTTTTAAAGAGGAGAGGTGAGGCTTGCCGTGCAAAGCTGGGAAGAGGGCGTTTGTTTGCAGAGCAGAGCTGACATCAAAGTGTAGATTACTGCTCAGTGGCTAGGCACTTGTCCTGTAACAGGTAATGTTTAACGTGCCAGTCTCAAAGATCACAGAAACAGTGTATGCCCGGGCATAAGATAGCACAACCGTGTATGCTCTGGAGGACTGAAAGGCTGTACAAGCCCTATGTATTTTTTTTTCAAATATACATATGCATGGGTCTTGCTACCGCCTCTTTTGCCGACTATAATTGGACTTTGAAGCTTCGAAGTTATAGCATAAAAATTTGTAACCTTTGTCTGAGAGAGAGCTCAGCTAAGCAATCACTTTCCACTTCTTTTCACAGGATAATATAAACGTTTTCTTGAAAGCTTGTGAACAGATTGGATTGAAAGAAGCCCAGCTTTTCCATCCTGGAGATCTACAGGATTTATCAAATCGAGTCACTGTCAAGTAAGTTTCAACAGTTTGTTAGATATATATATTTAAACTTAGGACTTATAGCTCAAGTGAAAAGAATTGCTGAGAGTTCATGATTACAGAAAAATTCTTCCTCTCTCTGTTTTCCTCTGTTCTTATTCTAAAAGAGACTGTTTTAAAAATGGCTTAGGGACTGTGAATGTGAAGCTGTTTCTAACTCATAGCATGGTCTTACTATAAATCTCTATACCGACCAAAATGGTTGTGTTAATATTTTAATACGTGTCCAACATGGTAGTGTTTGGTTGCTAATGTTGAGGATACTCATTATACTTATAAAGTGAATTTAGGGATTATATTATAACTTGCAGAGTAATAACAATCTTTAAATTTTTAAAATATATTTTGAATTAAGACATAATTATTAGCTTAAAAATTAGATAGGACAGTGATAAAAAAGAATCTCTTAATATTGTGAAGGCAGCAGTGCCTGGGACCAACATGTAATGCCAAGCACCCTGCCAGCTGTGGCTGACTTTTAAAAATGAGCTGTTTTCCACGATTTCAATAGTGTGGATGAGAAAGTGAAAGTGGGGGTGAGAACATGTATGCCAGTATCTTGTTAGATTTTAGGTGGAAAATGTTGTTTGTGTGGGAGTATACAGTTTCAGGAAATCTGGTTTTAAGCTCTTATGGTATTTATTTATATTTCCTGTAAATCTAATTTGCTTTCAGGCAATCAATAATAAACTGTGTTACCAGATAGAGCTGACAGGAAAGTTATTTAATTTTATAGTAACTATCTGTTTGTCATCCTGCCTCTTAAACCTAATTAACATTTTTTTTGCAAGGGAGAAAATAAACACCTTATTCTATCTATAGAAATAATGAAAATGGAAAAATCGGTTTCTACCAGTTCAAAGTTTTAGCTTATGTGGTTAATATCCCTGTGTAAAACTTTTAATAGTTATTTTTAAAATTGGATGACCAATTATTTTTTCTGAAGAAAAATAACCAGCTATGTAAGTATCTTTGAAAATAGTACACATTGTCTTCTAGCAGTAAACAGAACAGCCCCAAACCCAGGTAGACTTAGTTTTCTAAAGTCTAACAATATATGTTTTTAAATGAACACTGTTTTGAACCTGCTTCTAGTTCTGTTGAATAAGCTTTTCTAAACTCCATGGTAATGAAATGTACATGGGAGGGATAAATCTGCCTGCATTTCTGACTAATCGAAAGATAGTTTAGAGATTCTAAATTTCATCACCAAAGTGAAATGTTTGCTTCTATAGTATGTAGGAGTCATGTTTACTTTCCATAAAAATTAAATATTTGGATGTATTTATTTTTCCTTATCAGCATATTTCTTCATAAGGCCTATCTGATGGGCAAAGAAACTTTGGACTTTGAAAGTCTTTTCCTTAAGTTGTTGATGCTTGTTAAGCGTTAACGTGCTTCCCCCTAAAATCATGTACTCTGTTTTGAAAGTCTGTAGCCTATATTTGAGTAGGCTAAGGACTAGGCGAAACATGTTTGTTGGCTCCCAAGTCCAAGAGTGCTTGCCTGGAGCCTGTTTCATGAGATGTTGGGCCTAAAATGTTTCAGACAAATTAGTATCTGGGTTCAGCCTTCAGTGAAATTACTGACAAACTGAAACTGCGAGGTCACGTAGTTATAGCCGTAGTGAGAAGTATGCAGAACAACTTGTTTCAGTGGAAACCACAAGTTCGTCAAAGCAAGGTGTGCCTAAGTAGTACCTGTGAGAATGCCTGAGTGGGAACGTTGGCTTCGCTTGAGAACATTTCTCCTGATAATTCTATCTCATTGGACCAAAAAGCAAAGGGGTCAACCCTGGGTCTGCTGCGGTGGAAGCACTGGAGCCTCCCAGATGAGACACAGGAAAGTGGCAAAGCAACTTCTTTAAAAATGTTGTCCAAGCTCTTATGCCCTGAGATAGCACTTCTACTAAAAGAACCAGATTTAAAGAAAAGCAAATAATTGCTTACTAAATAGTAATGCATTTTAGCTTTTTAAAAATATATAATGTGGAGACTCCTTTGGGTCAAAATTCTTGTCTTATCATTATTGTGGATCAAAGGACTTGGTGTTGGTTAGATCAGTGGTTCTCAACTGGGGGCAGTTTTGGCAACCAGGGGATGTTTGGCCACGTCTGGAGACACTTCTGGTTGTCATAGCTGGGTGGGGTTGCTACAGGCATCTAATGGGTCAGGGATGCTGCTGAATACACTTTAATGCATGGGATAGCCCCCACAGCAAAGAATTTTCCTACTCCAAATATTAATAGTACTGGAGTTGAGAAACTCTGGCTTTAGATTTAGAATTTCTTGTTTATTCCCTCCCTGCCAGCAAAATAGTCATGTGGAAATGAAGGATACTCACTATGACACCTTTGACACTCTATTAAAATATAACTTATTATATGTGGACATAATTTATGCATTTCTGTGTTAGTGTGTTTATTGTCTGTTTAAGTGGGAAGACTCATTGTAACTTGTCTGAGAGTGTGGTACTATGTGTGAGTACTTTGAAATTATTTTGCATATCTGTATGCATTAAATTTAACAAGGTGTAGCAAATGATTTGATTATTTAAAATGCTGTATTATAACTGCCCAGACCACATCTACCAGTGCATAGACTTGTTGTCCTTGCTGCAAACTTGATCTAATCATGATGCATACTGAGAGCAAATAGGAAAGGACAGTAGATATCCTCCGTGTTGGCAAATGTGAGGAACTTTTTTGTTAGTGGTCAGCGGTGATAGTTGCTGTATGGAGCCCAAGGAGAGTTGTGTGTGTTGAAAATGAACGGCAATAGCAGAAGCAAGTAAAGAGCTATTGTTAATGAATAGTTTCAATAATCCAGGACTCCAACTATTTTTCAATTTTCTAGCTATCTGAAATTTACAATTTAATTCACAGTAATAACTTTTCACGAATCAGAGCCAGAGTATTCTCCATATTTCTGTAAATTATCCTATTATGTGTTCTAATTTTCTAATAATTATTTTACTTTGTAGGAAACAGTAGTTTTAATTTTTTCAAATATGTTTGAATTATTCTATTTATTTAGGGACCACATGTATTCCAGCATCAGGTGACACCTTTAATTTTGATATTCCTGACTTAATGGGTAGGATCCAACCTCTTTTCTTCTCAGAATGCTAATAAGCAAATTTATGATTTAGTCTCCATGAACGGTAGATTGAGATCTACCCCAATCTGAGGCCATGAAATCAATCTTTTGTGTGGATGAAAAACTGGATCATTATTCTTAACCATTTACTAAACATCCATACTGAGCACACATTCTCCACAAAGAAAACGTAGTGAAGTTCCCACAGAGCCATCTGTGCAGGCCTTCCGTAAAAGGGCTGTAGGAGATCAAGCATAATGGCCCCACCAGCCTGCCACAGCACACTGGAGAGCTCCTCTGGCAAGTGTCATGGTCTTTGTGGAGTCATCGGGTCGTTAAGAGAGATACAGAGCAATGACTTGTAGTCGAAAGCAACTCAACAGAGTAGCCTAGAGGTCCTGTATTGGAGAACTTGAAGTTGGCAGAAAGGTAGGGTTTAACCATTAAAGGTTTTAACTTTATATGTCTAGCAATTTGACTCAGAAACTAAGTCTTGTATTGAAACCATTGCTCTATATATCAGAAATTTTAAGCTGAGAAATTGAACAGATTGTAAACATGTTTCCTCTTTCCACCCCCTTACCATTCCAATCCAGTTTTTAGCACGTCTTCAGATACATTCTGTTCATAATATCCATTACAGGGTGGCAATGACTTTGAACACTATTTGTCATGCAAAGAAATTCTTTTCTAGTATAGACTTACTCTATTACCTACAGGATTGATATTTGAAGTATAAAATATAACTTTAAGTAAACATTGATATTAAGTGAGTTTGTTTTTGTAAGTCTATTAAAATGAAAGTACAGAAATTAAAAATCTATTATCTTTACACATGATAGTTGCCAAAGGAACAGTAGTTGGAATCAAAATTAGTGTTGACATATTCCCATCAGGAAAATAAAAGAGTCTCAAAATGGTATTTTAAGGATGTAACTGTTCGCTAAAGCTTCAGAAGAGTGGTTGATTTTGCGGCAGTGCTCTAAAGTCATTTCTTAGGAATCAGGTTCCCAGATGGCACTCTGTTTTAACAGTCTGCCAAATTGGGCTTGAGGTATGAAAGTGTGTATGTGTATTTAAGGTTTATTCATATAAGTAAAAATATACCTAGTTTGAATTATTTAATTTTTGCTTTTTAAAATAATTTAGACCTAGTTTTACTTTTTTTTTTTTGCAAGTACATGTCTTTCAAATGAGTTTCTCAATATCTTAATCTTTTTTTTTTTTTTAAGCAAGCGTAATGATATCCAAACTTGGACCTGCAACTTGAGCATGGTGACTTCCACCTGTCAACTCATGTGACTGTTTAAAAATGTACCCTTTCTGCCAACTATTAGAAGAGCATAAAACGAAAAGGAAGTTAATTGCGTTGCATATATCTCTATCCCATTCAACCATTCTCTGTTGTGAATTGCTTCCTGGAAGGGGAGGAACATTAATTCTGTGTGGCTGAGGCTCTGTTTAAGACTATCAGCAAAAATGTATGGTCAAATGTGGAAATGCTCTTTAATGACAAAGTTTGTATATCTAAGAGTCCTAACTGCAGTGAAAGGTTGTGGGATATGAGGCAGGTCTGATGCTGGGACAAGCGATGGAATAATTGAAGTTTTATCTGTATCTGTTTTTCTCTATTTCTAGTTCTTAATCTGTTTCTCAGATAGCCACGTTTCTGAATGTCAGCACTTCTTCCTTTGCTCTCTACTTCAAATCCAAAAAAGCCCTGGGGCCTGATTCTCTCTTGGGCTGCTGGATGAGCCTTCATGCTGTGGACTTACCTGGCCAGGGTCTACATCTTTAAAACTATCCTATCTTACATTCATTATTCCGAAGGGTTTCACTTGGTGGCCAATCTAAATAGCAGTTGACATGAGACCC